CTGAGAGATTTTTTATCTGAAATTATTGTATCTGAAATGATTATTGTTTTAAGATATTTTATGAAAACTAAAAAAATGAAATGAATTGTAAAGTTTTCTAAATATGTAAACTAAAAAATTTGAGAATAAAATTACACATAGGCCTAATTTTAATTTACCCAAGAAATTTTTGATCTGAAAATAATTTATAACTTTAAAAATTAATTTGAAAATTATACACCACAAATTATTTGTAATTTTAATTTAATTGACATCTGAAATTAATTTTGTGATGAAGATTTCTATTGAAAAATTAATTTACTTAAAATTTGATTGGAATAAAGTCACTGAATTTCAAAATCTTTGAAATAATTTTATTAAGCAATACACATATAAGTTTGATATAAAAAATTTTATTTTAATTACCAACGATTAAATACTACGACTTTAAGCGTATTAAAAGATTATCTAAACTGGAATTATGTTTCTCGTTACCAAATACTTGGCCAGCAATTTATTGTTAAAATAAAATTAATTTAATTCAAATTTATAATTAATACAGAAAGTTTGACTTACTGTCAAATTAAAATTAATTTAATTTAAATTTATAAAAAAAATTTAATAATTAATACAGCCTTATTGTTAAAATAAAATTAAGATTTGTGATTGAAAAATTAATTTTGTGATCTGACAAATTTTTATTTGCAATTTTTAAAAATTATTTGTAATTACAATTTAATTTTGTGATCAGTGCTACTCTTTAAATTTATAAAAACTGAAGCTTTGCCTTATTGTTAAAATAAAATTAAGATTTGTGATTGAAAAATTAATTTTGTGATCTGAAATAATTCCATTCAACAAATTTTTATTTGCAAGTTTAATTTATTTGATAGTAATTTACTCAAAAAATTAATTTTGTGATCAAAGCTGCCCATTTTGTGATCAATGCTACTTAATTTTTATCTGAAAATACATTGAAAAATTATTTTTGTGATCAAAGCTTCCCAAACCACTACTACTAATAGTCGATTATTGTTTACTAGTCTGGGCCATGGCTGCCCCTTATCCGATTCAAAAATTACAGTCTGAATTAGATATAATTTATTTTATGATACACAAATTCTGCAATTTACGCGTTACGACGACCACGATGTGACAAGAGTTCGCCTCTGTCTTCCAAATCTTTCTGATCACTTCAAATATTTTGACCGCATTCTCTGCTTTAAATACTTCACTGGTCTAATTTTAAATTACTGGCTAGGTCTCCGCATCTCTACTGTAAGAACCCCTAATAAATCATGCTTCTTCATCCCATTTTTTCTTTTCACAAAGAACTTTTTTTTTACCGTATAGCATCTCACATACAGCCTGTGCAACCATACCTAAATCGTGATTTTAATTTTTTTTTTTTTAAATAAATGTAAATCTATTTTATATAATATATAATGTAACTGCTGTTTTTCTTTATTTATAATTTTTTTATTTCTGTTATATCTTTTATATTTTGTAATCATTTTATTGGGGATCATTTTTTTTTGTTATAAGGGGGTGGAATACAATCGTCTTTGACGTTTACAATTGTAAACAAAGATAAAAAATAAAAAGTTAAAAAATAAAATAATAACTTTCTCTTGTAATGCTGTTTCCACTTGACACAAAACAATCACCGCGTCAAACAGTTTTCTGTACCAAACTGTTCTTATCAGGTTTCTATAGTAACACCAGACCGTAATTTTACAGTTTTACTTAAAAAAATTCTTTGTCTGTCCTTCTTTTTATTTCCCCATTTCAGTATCAACCGAAAAATATCAATTTGTTAAATTAAACCGAATTTCCTGTCTAAAGCAGACGCCAGTGAAAAAGATCGTATTTAATACAAAATTAAAATTAGTTACATTTATTCAGGTCTCTTAATATGGAAGAGAAAAACTGACAACAAATCGAGGACCGAAATACCGAAATTCTCCAATCGGCATATTCTTTGGAATTTGGTTTTCTGTCCAGTAAAAGCGCAAGATTATCGGAAACTTTGTGGCACCTGTAAGTATAATTTCAAAGTATTAAATTATATCTTACGATATAATATTATTTACGAATTTGTTTTCGAATAAATGTTAATGCCCTGTTTAATAAATTTCTGTAGTTACAGTTCAACTATTGAGTTGTGTGTGTTTGGGATTCATCGAAGAGAAACTAATGAAACTTTCTTGGGGTGGCTATCATTATATTATATTATCTCACCCCGATGTGGCTCAGGTATACTTGCTTGATCACATAATAAGTGCTTTCTCACGTTAACAATTGATTATTTAATACAGGAAGTGCTAAAGAATAACACCGTGATCAACAAAGATAGGATTTATAATATTTTTCATCCGTGGCTGGGAACAGGTCTTATAACAAGGTAAAACAATCATCGAATATTTCACAGTAATACATGTAATTTATTTATTTACAATCGAAACAGTTCGAACGATAAGTGGAGACATCGTAGGAAATTGTTAACTCCGGCATTTCACTTTCGAATTCTCGAAGACTTTCAAGGAATTTTCAACGACCACTCAAACATCTTAATTGAAAAGTTGAAAAATAAAAAGCAAAATGAAGAGTTTCTTATTGACGAGCTAATCAGACTGTGCACTTTGGATATTATTGCAGGTAAGAATTGATTGGGCAATGTTTACTTGCAGGAAAAATTGCCTTTTTACAAGCACAAAAAATATTTGTAACATTTTTTTGAATATTCTAAAAAAACTACAATTTGAAAATGTGCTGAAAAAGAAACGAGCAGTTGAGAGTGTTTATTTTAAACTTGTCTCTTCATTACGACAATTTCCAAATGTTATTGTAAATTAAAAATTTTCCTTAATTTCGAGAATTTCGATTTTTGTTTTTATTTTGCGAATAAGACAATCTGTTTTAATCGTACACATCGTGAGGTCAACCAGTCAGACAATAGCAGAAGAAAGAATAATAAGGAGCTGAGCCGACAGATTCTGAATTAGAGCCGACGAAACTTCCGATCTCAAGTACGAATGCCATTGCGAAATTTCATAGCGATATTCTGACGCATTAATACATTGGAATGTGTCGTCTTCATAATCATGAAAAGGAAACCTTTCTAATTTCTTAAAGGCTTTCTTTTTCTTAGTACTTTTTCAAATTGAGTCACAGAATGTTCCAAATTTCTTATGGTTAATGCAGACAACTTTACTCAGAAAAAAAACAATATCTATGTGCTATTTAATAAATATACAATATTTTTTTTACAGATTCAGCAATGGGAGTTCGATTCATCACTCAAGACAGATCTGGTACTGATTATGGCGTTGCCGTTAATGAGTAAGCTGAAAAGAAATATTTAATGACAAATCTGAATAAAACTTTTCTATTCAAAACTATTGTAACTCGCCTTTGAATAACTGTAAGGATTTTTTAGTTATTTTCCAATTTTCATATAATTACTATTTTCATTTCTCTATCGATTATTGTACAACAATCTTAGCTTTACCACTATGAAAAGTCATAAATGCAATAGGTGACAAACGAACTCGTAATTTTAATTGACTGTGAAAGGTTTTCATAGCATGGATAGAATTTTACTCTAGATCATTCGTAGTTTCATGCTATTACACATGTTCGCATAGAGTACAGTTTTCTTTATGTGCCCTATAAAAGAAACGAAAGCGTTTCAATTTACGCATACAATGCAATCCTTGCTGCCTTTTTCATGGGGGAAAAATATACTAAATATCGTGTAAATATGATTTTACATTCAACGGCGCAATTAAGCATATTAGTATAACAGTATCAAACTATTTGAATGTAAAGTAGTTTCGCAATAAGTAAAAAATAATTTATTTTTATTTATTGTCACACTTTTATTATTAAGTATTTATTAGAAACCTTTCATTTCTCCAAACACAGAAGAAATGAAGCTGGTTCCAAAAAGTGAAATATTCTCACTACACTATGAGAAATTCTAAATGACTTTAGTGTAAGAAAAATGACATTAATTTCACATAGATTGCCTTTTTCTCAATGGCTTTACATACCCCTCAATGAATGAACGTATTCAAAAACTCAGCATCAATTCAGTAAGACAATACCGGAAATGACGCACCTGCTGGTGTTTATGAGAAAACACAAATGTTGTCTGCCTGAATATCAGAAAAAAAGAAAATGGCGAGTAGCAATAAGCAAATGAAAATTTTGTAAATTTCTGTAAAAGTTAATAATAAATAAATCAATCTTAACATTACACATTAACAACAAACACTTTTAAGTCATGTCTAACATAACTAAACTAGTATATTAAAGTATTGTAATAATGTACTAACCTGATTTTACTTATAGAAGTACATCCATTAACAAATAAATTAAAGTCGACATTGTCAATGCAAAATAATTTTCACTAGTCTCACGGTGTCTCTTTGCGTACCGAAAAACACGATTGTAGCATATTGGCAGCAACCAGAAGTTGCTTGACATTTAGGAAAGTGATGCTGACAGGTGCTGACAACTGCGCTAAAATTTCAAATACGCCCAATAGAATTATCACAACTTTCGTTAAGATATACTTTAACAGACGAATACTGTAACAATGAGTAAGAATGAAAAAAAGAATATTACGAAGTATAAAAGAAAATATTTTGTTTCAGGATTAAAATTTTAAAATATTTTTAACAATGTGAAATATATTTCAGTTACTTGAAGCATTTATAATATACCACATTGTGTTTTATAATTTAGTATAACATCCGCACTTGTTCAATGGTTCATGAAGCCTTGGTATTGGTTCAGTCCCATTTTCAACCTTAGTCCATTAGGGAAAAAATTTTATAAAGACATTCACACCGTTCACGAATTCGACAGAAAGGCAAGTTCATTTGTTTTTATTCATAAACTATTTACATTGTTAATTAAAGAATGAAAACAATTCAGGTAATTAGAGAAAAGAAACAGAAAATGATGGAAGAACTGGAACACAACTCTCAAACAATCGACAACTTTAAAAAGAAAATGAAGTTCCAGGGGTAAAGAAGAGGCGAGCATTTCTGGATTTACTGCTTTATCATCATTTAACGGATAAAAGTCTCAACGAAGAAGATATCAGAGAAGAAGTTGATACATTCATGTTCGCAGTAAAATCAGTTTCATTTACTAATTTAAGAAAAAGATAATCGGGGGTATATTAAAATTGTCTTTTTGTTAGGGATACGACACAAGTTCAATGGGTATTAGTTGGTCCCTTTATCTACTCGGATTGCATCCCGATATACAAGAGAAA